AGCCTCTCCTACATCTACCCCTACCTCTTGCTCTGTCACTTCTCTTCCTTCTACCCCTGCCCCTTGTCCGAGTGAGGCCCCAGCCTCTGCTAAGATGAGAGCCAGTGGACAGGCATCATTGGATGGGCAACTGGCTAGTCTAAGTAGCATAGACAGCACCCAGACCGTGCTGTCCAAAACAGAGGAAATGCATAATGTATCACGAGCAAGCGTCCAGGGACCCTCCAGAGAAAGGAAGATACCACAAGTAAAGGCATCAGGACTTAGCAAAATACCTGTAGTTGGAGGGGGCAAAGCAGGCAAACTCCCTGTCCGGGACGGTCAACATGCTGATGATGAAGCAAACAGGGATCCGCCTACTCCTGTGCTAGAGGAAGAGAGGCCCCATTTCAACTCACATGATTCAGGGAGCAAATATAAAATCAGTGATGTTGGGGCTAATGTGCCCACCTCAAAACACACCCAGGAGGAGAGTCAGCAGCCTCCACAGCCGAAAGTCCTCACCAGTTTACCGCGTGACTCAAAGATCCCCGTGAAGCATGGTGCACAGTCTCACACTGCCTCCCAAATCCCTCAAGCTAAAGAACCCCTTCGCACCAAGATACCAGTGTCCAAGGTTCCTGTCCGCAGGGTTGGTAATAAACCTGGAGCTGCAGGTGGCAGCACCCAGATAAGAAAGTAAACAACGGACTGAATCAATCAACTATACAGATTATGGCTTTGACTGCAACTTCTTATCCAATATAACTACATGGCCACCCTTTTTTAATTCATATTTCTATACTGTAACTCTTGGCTTGTGTCTCTGTCATCTCTTGGCTTCACTACACCATAAGCAACAGTAACAGAGTCAAGGAGGCTGACAGCACTCAAGCACAAAACATCGCCACAGGGAGCCAAAGCAACAAGCCTGGCTCTTTGGTGCTGAGCCAACTGGACACGCACTCAGGAAAGGTTCAGGGTCACACCTGAACACACAGCAGCATCTGTAACTATGGATAAGCAAGATTAAACGTCTTCTGGGAACACAGTCACACACACAACACGGGCGAGTGCCTTTTTAAAGGGTGCTTTTCCTACAGACTCAGAATTTGTTCAGTCTTTTCTACAGTGCTTTTAACTTTTGTTACTCCCACTTTTTGTAGGAACCGTCAAATCTTTTTGTCTTTCTTTCCAGCAAGTCCTTTGATAATAACCAGTCCCTTTACGTTTTATTTATGTCAGGAGAAGAACCGCAGGAGCTCTACAGATAAATGCAACAACCAAATTTACATTCCACACCTATGTCCGGACATATGTAGCAGAAAACGTGCCATTAATTAATGCACAAGATATTGAACTGTACAGCGACTGTGTGTCCGCCTGCTCATACGTAACATGATCAGATCTCACTGTGAACTATGGGAGAGATTGTAACCCTTCCAGTAAAATGGACAGTGGACAGCAGCCATTATGAATGGCACTGTGGACGTTTGAGCGACATAGAGAAGATGCTGCTGAGATGAGATCTCCAGCTCGTACACTGGCACATTCTTATCCTTACCCCCACTTATACTCAGATGAGAACAATATCTCTGTGTATAGTCTCATCTATGTTGTTCTGTTTCCTATTTAATCAATAAAACATAATGAGTACTTTGCAACATGACATCTGTTTGAGTTGTGAATTATATCCTGTTTTACGTATTGTGGCAGATTGCAGACAGATAAGACGTGAGCGCACATAAAAGGATTTCCTGGCTCTGTATTAAGCATGTGGAAGGAAATCACATAACTGTCAAGAACTGTGAAAAGCTAAAGATTAGAGAGAAATGACAAACATTTTTATATTTTCACAGACAAATCCCCACAGTTGCTCACCATCTTACAACAGCCGGGGCTCAGAGTGTGTTCACAGGAACATGATTCCAACATCATCCACACACCAAGCTCACTGACCTGAATAACAAGCACATTAATGTCAGCAGAGCCCGGCCAATCAGCTTCAAGGGAAAACGCTTAACATGCATACCTTATTATCAGGAAAAGGGTTTGGGAATGTGTGCCATTGCTATTCTTAGTGTACCCAATGGATCTGCTGAATAATGCCCCTCTGACTGGAGTGGATCATTTGATTTGGACATTTAGTAGCAGTTTGACATCATTGCAGAAAATGCAAAATGAAGGTTATTTGAACACAAAAGGCTGGAGTGAACTATAAAGACTGTCTAGAATGTCGCAAAAAGGTAGAAAATACGGGAGGGGTAAAAAAATGTTGAAAAGCAACTCTAGTGGTGAGAATAAAACCTCAGGTTAAGGATGGGAAGCTGATCTGAGTCATGGGGTGATGTTTACAGAAGTCTGGTGTTAGGAATAAGGAGTGAAGGACAAAGGGTGATTTTTTTTTACAAATAAAAGCATTGTGCAGGTGACACAAAAAGACCTCTGTTTACTTTAGGAAGCCAGAGGCTGCAAGCTGAGAAGAGAGGACCATCATTAGCCCAGGAAAAACACGAGGATTTCACCACATTAAAGTGCTGACACAGACTTACAGAGGGTAAAACATCTGCCTGAGAAAAGAACAGTTTCCCCCTGAGGCTCAGACACAACACAGGCTTGCCTCTTGGTAACACCTGTGATTTAGGATTAAAACTTTTAAAAATGGACTAAAGCAGCATGTAGACTTAAAATCACGTCGGTTAGAGCAGTAAGCTGGCTCACGTTGTGCCATAGTTTGATGTATTACATTATGCTCTCCATTACAGGAATCTGCTGGTATGAATATGATTCCTGCAGATTTAAAGAGGAAACCAAAACAGGCATCTTCACTGAATGCTGCCTTTTGTAAACATCCATTCACATGATTTCCCAGCAACATGGGTTTCATGCTTAAAGTGTATGTGCTGGTGACAACAGCCTTGAGTGAAGTGCAACCAAGGAACATGTTGGAATAAATGTTTGAGCTATATTGCATAAACTGTCTCAGAGTACCTCTGTTTACAGGTTGTTTGTGTGTTTGTAAGGCCAGCCCCTTGCCCCAAATATGTTACAAAAATTACAGCACCCATAATGCACTGAGGCCACATGGCTTTCTATGGTCTGCATGTGTTCGTGTCTGCTTCTGCCTCTGGAGAAAAATGAGCCTCTTTAGAACCTAATTTAGCATGCTTCATTCTGTGTTTCCATGCCAACCCCACTAGGTCAACCAATGAAAGGCTGTGGGTGTCGGGAGGCGGAGTTTAAAACATGAGTGCCTTAATGAGCACACTCACAGTATACATGCTAATAAGACCAGGTATTAGTTCATACATTAGTTCAACAATTTTAAATTGAATTATTGAGGTATAACAATTTAATGCATCATAATAGTGCTCTGCTCTCATTTTGAAACATATTTCACCTACAATTTACTTTCAAACTCAGTTTTTGCACTGACCTCAGCTGAACCAGTCAAGTAGACAAAAAGTGAACAATACTGAATTTTCTGTCAGTGGATGCAGCGAAACCGTTTATCAAAGCAGAAGACACCTATCTTACACACATAAAAATATTATCACTAAAAGAGATGTTTTTATTGAATATGCTTTCAAGCTCTAAAATCTGGAAAACTGGAAAGACAGCATTGTATTGATTGTATTGGACATTCCCAGAAAATCTTGTTTTTTAGTTTCTGAAACATTTCAGATACATTCTAGATATACTGGAAACAAATGATTTAGCACAAAATACCACAGGGGTGGTGGTATTGACTCTTATACTCTATTATAAGATAAATAAAAGGCAAACTCCTGTAAGAGGTTTGGTGAAAATATCTAGTTACACTGCACTACAGGGACGTTGGTAAAACTTTACACAACATTGTAAAAATAATGCTAAGGTTCTCATCCATGGGAACACAGATCATCTTGCCATGTTGGGATTTATTATCCTTCTTTTCAGTGCTCATACAAAGCAAAACCTCTGCAAAGCAAGAGCCATTTTGTTGCTCACTGTTTAACATGATTAGGTTTTTACAGCCCCTGAAACGTAATATGAACAGACAAAGCAACCATAACATTTCACAAATATGCTCCATAATCAAAATTATTTATTCTTATTGAAGAATGGCGTTGACAAAAATTACCATTGGTCATACAGAAAATATTAAATGTAATAAAATTTATAGAATTCGGTAATTTGTTTGGTTTTAAGGCTTGAGTTTCATACAGTGGTCGACAGTTTGTGGATGAGTTGTTGTCATGACGGATACTTCTGTGAGCTGTGAAGCATCCAGGAAAGGCAACAACTCATCTGCAACACATGCATGTCACCTGCATGTCAGCTATGTAGCCTGATACCTGATCTGCCCTCTTTAGTTTTTAAACAGTTAGTGATCTTTCATTGTGAAATACAGTCAGACTGTTGCAAATAAAAAATGAATAAACATATCAAATGTATGGATTTACAAAACATTTAAACATTATAATAATATTTTTTATTGAAAAGCCTAAACATGGTGGAATCTGTTTTGCTTCCAAAAAGCAAATTTTTAGCTTGATATACATGTGCTTATAAATGCACATACTTACATATATGTGTAAGCATTACAAAATATAATGGATTATTGACCCTCCATTCTTATAGTAACCCCTCATTTACTGAAGTGAACATGGACGACCAGCCAGAGCATCCAGAGCATTACGTCATTTCAGTGCAATAACTCCAAACTGAGGGCCTCTGCTGGTGAAAACACATAATGAAATGCTGAGTAACATGTGGGTGACGCAGTACATATAGCAATCTCTGCTGCACAACATGGCCTCATCATCTCAGGCCTGTAGCCTCTACTATATGCACAGTGGTAGGCTTGAAACACAGTACCATTGTGATCTGGGCAAATTTTCAACTTTTATGAGTAGAATATCTGCCAGAAAATACAAATAAATCATAACAGTAATATGTAAAAGGTGCCTTCAATCATCTCTCCTTCATGGATGACATTTGCATATAGAAAGAAAAGCCCAGTGGAAGGAATATAAGCGAGAGCGGACATTCAGCCCAGCTTTAAATAAGCGGACAAGATCAGCTTATGCTGGTAGTCTGGAAGCAGCAATCAATATGCTTGAGTTAAGATAATATTCACACTAATTTCATTTGAGTATTAGTGACACTGTAGAAATAACAAAGAAATTGTGCATTCTTGCAACCATAAATACGGCGGGGATGATCTTAACAGGGAAAAGATCAAGTTGTGACCCACTGATACAGCCTGATGTTTTAAGGAAATAAATTTTAGTCTGACTAAGTTATAAAAGTAGATGAAATGGAAGAAGAAGAAGAAGAAGAAGAAGAAGAAGAAGAATAAACTGAGGTGGACCTACAACTTAAACTCTGGTTTGAACACGTTAGTTATGTACATTACATTTATAGAAATATGTTAGACAGATATTCTATATCTGTTGTAGAGAAGCAGCATCAGTGGGTACCGTATTTTAGAAGTTTCGCGGATGTTCCTGATCATTTAGAAGCTTCCCTCATCCCTGATGTTTTGACTGAACAAAAGCCAAACATGACAGGGAATGTATGAGACAAGCAGAGATTTTTGTATATGGAAAGAGAAAGTTGGACAATGTAACTCATGGTACATTAACAAATAAAATGAAACTAAATAGCTTAATTATAAAACATGTATATCAATTATCTTAATCTGTTATGGTTACATTACAAAGTGAGCTTTTGAGCATGAGTTGTCCTTGTAGGCTAAGTGTAAACTGAAGTATATTTTTTGTTGACCTGATGAACATCCATCTCTGCTCTACACAACGCTGTTGTGCTGATACGAGTGCTGTAAATCTTCTCATGTGACACATTGTTCACCAAAGAAGTTTTGAGGCACGGACCCTGATCTCTTGGGATCAGCTACACCATGAAATGCATGTGTCCTTCGGCACCCGTAACCATGACATCCATCCAGATACGCATGGCTTCAGGCGTTGGAGCCACCATGTAGTACACCCGATCGTGGGTCTTCACACTGAAGGTCAGCGAGGGGTTGGGGCTCTTGGGTGCAGAAGTGAATGTAATTTTGAGGGAAAAAAGTGAAATAACAGAGAATAGAAGGGAGAGGGGTGAGGCGATGCATGTGTGAGAGGGAGAAAGACAAATGGATGGAGAAGATCAGAGGATAAACAGATATCAACAATATACAAAGAAATGGGGCATGTGTAGACGTGCACACACATCCACATAAAGTGACTTACTTTGTGTGCATTCTTTAGATGGTCATAGTACACCTCCTCTATGGCTTGGAAGTAAATGACTCCTTTCATCTTGGTCTCATGCTTGTCTGCAGTGGAGAATATAAACAGAAATGTTTATGGACCGCCAACACTGTGATCAAAGCTCGTTCTCAGCATCCAAAGTCTCCTGGCATAGCTTAAAAGTGACATCACTGTTGCAGTAACTTTGTCTCACATTTTAAAACGCCACATTTTCAACAGAGAACTGAGTGGAGGAGTTACTCACCTGCGTAGTAGGTGAGTGTCCTGCGATTCTGGTCGAAGACAAACCAGCGTTTCTTCCAGGTCTTGATCTTGCCGCCCATCTTGACCAGGAAACCTCGACAGGTTTTATCAGTGATGGCCAGATGGAAGCAGGCATCTGGGTTGTGTCCAGCTGCCTCAATATGGCCATGAAGATCAAAGTCATCTTTCCTTACTGGGAGGTAGCGAGTCAACAGCCGGGACTGTGGAAAAAGTGTTAAAAAATGTAAACATTGTACACTACTTTGTTCAAGAAGTATTTATAATGAATGAATGAAGCCAATTGTGAAAAAAACTTCCAATTTCAACTTCTTCACATCAGTTATTCTGAATACCTGTGATCTTTGTTTCTCCCTGAGCTTCACCTCTCTCTCTACAAGTTTCTGTCTCCTGCTTGTTTCCTCCTGCAGTCGTTTCTCCAATTCCTCCCTTCTTCTTCGCTCCTCCTCCAGAGCCTGCCTGCGCATCTGCATCTCACGCTCCTGCACACGCCACATAGAGTAAATTACATCCATCATCAAACACACACACACACACACACATCCAGATACACAATATGTCAGGCTTGTTTAGGTTAGGCACATTACCCGATGCTCAAGGAGCCTCTGCTTCTCTGCCTGGGCCTCTCGGAGTAAACGCTCCATCTCCTCGATCTTCGCCATATTGGACATACTGGCACTGATGGAAAATGGAAAACTAAGTTGTCAAACACAGGATTTCTCTGATATGAGGGGGCATTCCAACACTAATATCCACTAACACTAAAAAACACTAATTACTGTCAAATAAAAATAAAAATAAAATACAGAGCATCACAGCCTTTTCAAAGGCATTTCCTCATTCTACTTGATCTTCTCTCTCCTGAAGATCTTTTGCAGCCTTTACGCTCCAATTTCTTTTCTAAAAATATAACTCTTCTTCTTCTGATGCACACATATTTGCTGGGCCTAAACTTTTCAAAGCAACGTTTCATCTGTACATTATTGCGGTTTCTCTCTAACCTGGAGATGTTGTCTGGGGAGCAGGCGGAGAAGCTGGTCTCCAGGCTGTCAGAGC